TATCACGGCAAGTGTTCGCTCTGTGCAAATCGAAATTTATGCGCAGAGTGGAGGTCATTTCATTCCTTTCTCGACAAATTCGACAGCTAATGATTGTTTTGCGCGCAGGTGACAACATGTACACACCTTTCTTTTTTCTACGGAACTTATGAGTTGCCTTCTCTAATCAATTATAATTCAATATGAATACTGAATTCTGCCATCTACAAAGGTCCCGCGAAAATTATTACTTTGCCTTAATATCTCTGAAAGAATAGATTCATGAAAATTTGTTGATGCTCTGTTGTTAAATCATCTCTTTAGCTGTTCAGCTTCCTAATTGTAAGCTTTTTTTGCGCGAAAGGATTCCAGCGCAACTGTACGTCTTCCGTGAGTCTTTACTAATTCTTATTAGGGAAATACTCGCTGTTTATGGCATATCATAGGACGTGGGGAATCACTGTTTTTGCAGAAAAGTCCTGCAGAAAATAATATTTACTACCCTAATCTTCATTTTGGTTCCAGTTATGGACAGTTCCTAGAATACGCGTCATTCTTCAGGTGCTTGAAGATTGCGAACGTTGAAGAATGCACAATATTAGAAATCTTGGGGATTCATCAGGCTTCGTTCGCAAAAAGGGCAGGGACGTGAAGTAGCCTGAAATTTATTTTTGAACGAGATTCCAGAGAAGACAGGTATGGGGATAGTCAAAGAAGGTGTGGGCAATGGATGGCAACTATGTATAAACGCTAGGAAGAGGAATTCTGTTGGTGAATTCATACCTCTGTCAAGTTGGATATATAAAATAGATGCTTGGGGTACTGACGGCAGATAATAGTAAAACTTTTGTAATAAGCTATGAAAAGGAATATGTGGTAGTCTTTCATAACAAACGTCTTTTTGCTGAATCCCTGATTTACAATCTCGTCATACTTTACACATTAACAAGAGTTGGTGAAGATTTGAAGTTATCGTAAAAATTGAGCTGCCTCTGCAGAACGCGTTTCACATTACTTTTTTCTGGCGATACGGTTTCCTTGAACATCGGCACAAAGTGCTTAGCAAACAAGTTTAGTGTCGGTTTCTATTGCGGTTATTGCGAAGAAATTTCGTACTCACTTTCGTTCATGATCTAATTTCTGTGATCTCGCTTGAATGCCACGGTCATTTGACCTCTTTCGTTTTCAAATACCATTACTTTAAGGTCTTAGCAATATGGGATTATTATCTTGCTGTCCATTCGATCATTTTACCCTTTCCGATCTTCCTCTCACTCAATTTCTCGATCATTTCATACAAAGGTCGCTCTATCCTTTCTTTTCTTATGACTCCACTAATAAGTGGGAACCTCTTTTTAATTTCTCTGGAAACTGAAAAGTGAGACGTCCGTTTAGGTAAAAATGAAGGGACGGCTATAGCATTGACAGTATATCCAGCATTCGTTCTAGCAAATTGTAATACGGAGCATGTCCGACAAAGTTTGTTACCCGTTGTATCCTTGTTCTTACTCTTGTCCGAGTTGTCCTCACCCCCTAATCATATTTCATTTACACAAATCTTGTACATCTGTTCCTAGTTGTAATCCAATATAATATGTACACCTTCAGTACAGCCATTGTTACGGCAGAAAATACTGTTTTTGTTTAAAAGCTCGTGCTAACATATCATTACAATAAGGGTGGCTCAGTGGTTTGAGGCGCCGCCTTGAGCATTGGGGTAGAGGTTCGATTCCAGCTGGAGCCTACCACCCTCTGTACTCTCTGTCGTTACTCATACCGAAATCTGGGAGGATTGTGCACTGACTTCGTGACCGGCTCACTCCTCCATCCAAGTCGAAAAGACACCGCCCAGAGTTGCCATGCGCCAGTACCGTGCCGGAACCTACGCGGATACACCCTGTCGACCAAAGTTTCACGGCGCTGGTACGGGTCTGGCACGGACAAGCTTGGACGCCTGGTTAAAGTCCACCCAACCATCAACTCTTTGACTCTAGAGTGTAGTGCGTTCAACGCATCCCTGGGGATGGTTTGGACTCCCAGCTCTTCAATTCAATTTTCATTCTTATCAAATCTGAAAAGGATGAAAGGCTTGTAGCTTGCAGCTTTTCCTCAGCTGCTTTTGAGTTCTCCTCCGTTCTATGGGCGATGGTTCTTTGAAACTCGGCCTAATGACTAATCTAATCAATCGTTGCATTGTCTGCCTCTGGTTCGACGCGGCTGAGCAGTGCGTGCTGGAATTTTTTAGTGATTTTTGCAAATTCTTATAAATGGTCTTGGAACGTACAAAAGCATCCTATACAGTAAGAAAATGGGAATGGGACTGTGCGTTTCAGGGTTCATAAGTACTCAAAGAAAGGAATACTTGAGTACAAGTTGGATAGATTTTCTTTCTTTTTTTTTATCATGATGGGGTTATTTGCTATGGAAATGTTACAGCTTCAAGTCGGAGCAACAAAATATCAGTAGCCTTGAATTTTGGCTTATTAGCTATCGGAAGGACTGAGAAGGATAGAAACTCTAATATCTTACGCGCCGAACCATTCACTGCTTTTGAAATTTTTTTTGCTCGCAAAGTCCCCCCCCCCTTCTCTTCTCACCTCCTCTTTTCCTACTACTACCTTTCCAGTAAATCAAACGAATACGGCAGACTCAAAAAATATTAGCTCGTTTACCCATGCAAGGTGAGCAAGTACTCGAGACCCAATGTTTTGTAGAAGTGGCTTTTTCACTCCAGTTAGTTTAGAAAAAGTTATAAGATTGCTTTCCTTCTTCATACTACGCTCCCTGAATCTTTTTCCTGCTTCGCACTTTTTGCTTTGTGTAAGGACAGGCTCAAGACTAATTGCAAGGCACGTTTTTGTAAACTGAAGTCGATAATCGTGGGTATTTTTGCCGTAAGCTAAACATAATGTTGTGCTTTTGCAGAAGAGGAAAAAGTGGTTGCACGCACACTTCCGCTGCCTAACGTCATGTATAACCTGCTATTCAGATTTGCAAGCATAATTGCGGAATTACGTGATAGTCAAAAAAGTGCTTGGGGAGATGAAGGAAAGGAAACTAGCTTACGCCTCTAAGGCTTTGATATGTATGTTGAATGTGTGAACACATGTTTTTATTCAAAATGGTTTAATTCTATGAATTTAAGAGCAAACTAGGTCGTAAATCAATTCCAAAGATGTCTCATATATTTGGAAATTCATTTATATTCCCTTCCTCCCCCCCCCCTCCCCGCCCCTCCGCTGAAAAAGCGGGGCCCACCACTAATGGGGAGAGTGGCGTATCGAAGGACTCCCCCCCCCCCCGGAGGGTCCTGAGATTTTGAAAGTTGCGTATGTGAGCGATGAAAATATGTAATGACTGTATCTACTTGTAAAGAATTGAAAGGTCAAAGAAATTCATAAAACCCAAGTTACCACTGTAGAAAATTTTGTGGGCTGCCACATGGCCCTTTTTCTCAGAATGTTAGGATGTAGGCCCGATGAAAATTCTAAAAAGCATCCCGAAACTTTCTTTGACGCGCGTCAATTTGAAACCGACTTATTCAGAAATTTTGTGCCCGCCCTTTTCCTTCCCCAACCTTGAATAAATTCCTGAACCACCATGCTTCATAGTTAGCAGTTCAGAATCATCTACCTACCATCAATGCTGCAGGAAATTGTAGATTATCCCATGTGTTCTGCAAGTTCCCATAAAAAGTATAGGAAGGGTATGCGTTTGCTCTGTAAACTTGAAATGCAATAAGAGAAACTAGAAAAATGTCGTAATGCGCATTCCGCTGATGGAAATTGGCGAATGGCAGAATGAGCCATGGCTTAACGACGAAAGTTTTTCTTCGTTGTGTTTGCAAGGACTCCTCATCACTCAAACTCAGCTGACAAGTTTGGGGCATTGAGCATACATAAGTTACTTCGAGTCTGCCTCAGTTCTAGCTCCAGGAACTCTTGAATTTTTTCCTCCTATGCAGGTAATAAGGAATGAGACTTCAACCGGGTGGTGGGATTGCCATGAATCGAAAATGGGAGTGTCAAGTCCAAGAATGGGCGTATAAATTGGGCGGAGGTCAACCCATGGACAACTTTAGCTACTTCTTGGATAGGAACTTGAAATATGACTGAATTATATGTCCTAAATATATATGTAGCCTCAATTTATCACATTTACCCCAACCCTTGAAAAATTTGTGGCAACCCATTGGTTATCGTCCAATTTAATTTGACTTTTGACAAGGGTTTATGGAGCTTCCTCATCGGAAAAAAAACTTGATTTTCCTGAGGGATCATTTTTTTGCTTGATTTTTTTTCGCATGAAAAGATACTGTCATTTTTTCCATTGTTTATTCACAAACGAACCCGTACCATTTTCTGATCGAATATGTTCTGCGTGAACTTTGAACATCCCTTTTGCCCTATATGACATCTCTAAAAACATTGTAATGTTGTACTATTTTTGTTGAGAGTACTAGTTTGACCTGATGACTCATCAAATACCATCGTTGTTTTTGATATTTATGTGAACGATTCGAATAAATCAACGCAAGTGCATAGGCCCCATTTTACGACACTTGTCCTATTTGAGTTCTTTTTGCCCTTGAAATGCGAGAAAAGCGCATTTTCGCTTCGCTTTGCTTTGCAACGGGTCCTAATCGAAATAGACTCCCTTCGGCATAGCGTCGGACCGTCGATGCTTCCGTTATCCTCGTTAGAGGCGAAAAAAAGTATTAGCATAGCACTGAACCCGTGCTGATCCTTTTTGGAAAGCTGTGCTTAGAATGAGAATCCTGCAAAGTTTGAATGAGAGCGATGGCTCATGTTCGATTGTCGGTTATGTGACATAATGAGTCATAACGTTGTATGTTTGGACAGTTGCCTGTGTCGTCGTTTAGTCACGCAGAATTGGGAGACATAGCGATGGAAATGTTAAGAACCTGACTCAGAAGGGCGGGGGGGGGGGGGGGAGGTAGGAGAGAGAGAGAAAGAGAGAGAGAAATGAACGGTCCCGGTCTGTCTGTCTCAACTCGTCGGCATCACTCGTCCACCTTACTGACGGCCTGGGCGCGCGTCTTCAAGACCCGCCCAGCCCTTCCCCCGCCGACACTCCTCAGCCCCCGTCGTCATCCACCGCGCCCCGCACCGCCGCACATCCACCCCACTGCCTTTCTGGTCGTCGCCGTCGTCGTCGCTGCCGTATACGCGTCGAGCGTCAGCTTCTGCCCCTATTCTGGGACGAGATTCACGAACCCATCAGTCGATCGATGCCCCGTGTGAAGAGCGGGGAATTTGTGCTTGAAATAGATACAGCTGAAGTGATTCGACTGAACCCCGTTTTTTTTGCAGTGGGCGCGTCTCCCCGTCTTTTTCCATCGTCTTATATATAAAGAATTCTAAATTCTAATTTTATTCTCCCCATCTCACGCTGTGTGACTCATATCGTCGCCCCATCTGCCCCCCCCCTCCGGAGAGACTTTCGACTAAGCTGTGTAACCGTTACCTTCACCTATATAAATATCCGTGCACTCAACTATTCAATCCACTGTGCCTAAATCAATCCCTGTGCTAACCGGTTTCTACCCCAAAACATTCTGAACCCGCATTTATTCCCTAATTATTGATCGCCTATCGATCTACGCGTCTGTCTCCCGAGTCAATCGATATCGATCGATCGGCCATGATGTCGTTACCGTTAATTCGCGATTACGAAGTCTACGTTGCAGAAGGCTGTGAAAAATCCTATTGTGGTGATTATCATCGCCGAATGGCCGCTGCTGGCGCCGTACAACCCCGCGGTGCTTCACCGCAAAGCCCTTCGCGACATATAACGGTGAGTTTTTGATTTTTGAACTTTGATCTGATGTTTTTTGTCCCGGGATTTTCTACGACTTTTATTCACTGCATAATCGTGTTTGCGTTTGTTGTTTTCGTACGGGCTCGCGCGCGTTCTGTGGATTGAGGCAATTTTCAATTTGTCTCATGGGGGTTGTGTGTTCCTCTATGGACTAAATCTCATTACTGAAACTGAATCGAAGTTCGTGTTTTACTCAATATGTAGGTTTAGCGAAATTTTACAGATTCATCGTAGGATGCATGGTTAAAAATTTTTTGCTCAAAAAATATGTATTACATATTTGTAATAGTTGACAAGATTTTATCTATCAACATTTTTTCTCGCCTAGGATTTTCTTGATTTGCTAAAATGGGTTTTAAAGACACTGTTTACGAAACGCGAGTTTTCTATGCTTTTTCGCCTATAATTCCCATTTCACACTTTTTTCTGAGTCTTTGCCGAGTTTAGGAAAAACCTGTATCCTAAGGTTGAGATTTGAATTTTTTTTTTGCAAAATCCTCTTTTTTATCGATCAGACTGTTTTTCCCTAATTTTCTATTTCTGATATAGTTTGAACAGTTCTTGTGATGATGCTTTTTTGTTATTGTTTCTTCAGTTTAACGTTTTTGAAAAATTTTTGCAAAATGATATTTTTGTCAATCAAACTTTGCTTCACCTTTGCCCTCAGTTTTTCCCTTTTTTCAGTGAAAGATTTTATAGCATTTTATCAACATTGAATGTTATTTTTGTTTTTTCCGCCTATATTTGCCGTTTCAGCGAAGCTTTTTCTGAATTTTCCTACGGCATCTGGTTGATATTTTGTGCAACGTCTAATTTGTAACCATCAAAGTGATCCCAAATCCAAACCGTCCATGCTTTCTGCAAAATCGAAAATCTTTGCAACATTACACTGCACGGGCGTCATGCATCACAGCCAATGAATGAAGTAAAGTTGAAAGCTGTCATGTTGCTTTAGAGCAATGAGAAATGATTTATTATATGTCCCTAGCTTAGAAAGGGAAAAAAGTTTTTTTTAATTATAAAAATGATCGAGTGTTTTGCGGAGGAGACGTTTGAAATGCACATTCCAACTACAACGGCTTGAAATGCTTTATTGAGATGAAAAACCTGGCTTATTGGATGTTTCTTTTTTGATAACATTATCATCTTGCATATGCATTAGTTTTGTGATAAATTTGGACAAAAAGTGGTTTTATCTGAAATGCCATGGAGATTATAATGTTTTTGCGATAGTGCATGTTATGAGATAGTTAATCGTAAAACTAGATTACGTTTTATTGATTATTGGGTGAGTAAGTAAGGTATTAGTCAGCAAACATCGATTAGTTCGGTTTATTCTTTTCTGTTTAATTTATAGACCATGTTTATGTCTTTTTTTTTAGAAAGTTTTGACATGCATCAGACAACCACACGATAAAAAACATTGATCTGGCATTGTGATATTGATGAATCATTTCTAGTAAAAAGTAGTCTTGAAAATCAAAAGTGAAGTTACCATTGTAGTAAAAACCCAGGTAAAACACTTTTTTGAAAAAATGTGTCTGTCACTTGTACTTGCACACTTTGTATCTTATTCTCGGCGAGTAATTCTATTCTATAGACCTTGTGTTTTCAATCACACAAAAAACTGCATAAAGCTTTGTAGAAGGTACTAATGTAAGTTATAAAAGTGTGGATATAAAGGATTATTTTTCTGATTTTTTTTTGGCTCCTAAAAGAGCGCATGAGATCTGAAATTTGAAAAAAATGCATTTTTCGAAATCAAGTCCTTTCTAGCGAAAGGTCAAAATTTTCTTTGATTTTATATTTTTGAACTACAGATCTCAACAGAAGAAATTCTGCGAATTTGTGCTTCATTTTCAGTCCCTGTTTCAGACTAAGCCTTGAGAAAAGTATATTTTCTAAATTTTTGTGTCAATTTTTTGAAATCATACCATAACCTCCTCAACATTGTAGGTAAAACCACCTTTGCCAAAATTTATCACAAAACTCCATATACAAACTGATAATGTTGAAACACATCCAATACACCAAAGTTTTTTTCACCAAATTTTAGTCGTTTCATATTTGAGCCACAGATCTAAAATGTTGGAAAATTTCTCTTTTTGACGTTGCCTTTTTTTCAATTCGTCAAAACTGAACGCGCTATGTAGAGTTTTTCCCTTCAACGATATAAACCACAGTGATGCAATCGTTGTGCTTTAGTTTTCTAGTTTTAGATTCGTCTATAATGTGTGTCATCATGCTGGTCATACTGTAGTTTTATGCGAGTTCGCAAAGCTTCGTTCTTGTCTGTGCGCGCGGGAAAAAAGTCTGAACGACAAGGAGCTTCGTATCATTGTGCGTCTAACGAGGCGACTCGTGATGCTTTAGTTCTTTGTGATATCTGGAACAGATGTTCTGGGAAAATGTCGTCGTAGGCTGATATCCTTTGTTTGAAATGTTTGTGGATTGACGCAAAAATTGAATTTTAATTTTTTCTATACCATTTGAAATTAAACGTCGGAAATTTGATGACGGAATGTTTGCTTTTACTAAAAAAAGGGGGCCGCTCTGATAACAATGTGTACAAAGCATTTTCGCGGTCGCAGCCGTTTTTATTTTCTTGGAAAGAATCTTCATGACGTGAATGAGTCCAAGCAAGTTTTTTTTATTTCTTACTGGAATTTACACAGAAATCCGCCGACGCATTGTCACATAAAATTCAACGACGTCTCATTTATTTCGAAACGCAACTATTATACATCATTAGAAATGCGAAAAGAAGTCCAGATGTCAAACTGTCCTCGTAAAGTGTAATAAGGTGTATCGTTGAATAAAAATTACCCCGCAAAAGCTAAAATTATTCATAGCTTCCTTGGCATTCGCATTTTTCGCATCAATACCCGGCGCCAAACGTATGCATTAGAATTCTTCGTATGTATGATGAATTAGCATTCACCGCACTCGGTTCGAAATACCGTCTCGAATTGCCTGGGTTTTCTCTTCTAAACGTCAGGGCTTCGGCACTTTTTCTTTGTGTAATTACGGATCAAGGAAATATCCAAGTCTAATTAGCATATGACGTCAGGGACTATACGTAAGGATTAATTTATGCACTGAGCTCATGGTTTTGCTAGTTTGATGGGCTGCTTTCCGGGCGCAGAGTACCAAATGGTAGCAACGGAGTGAGCGAAGAATTCCATGAACAGGGTGGAATTTTTAATAGCATACAGCCTTTTCTGCTATGATTCGTAGTCTACGTCTGCTCTGCTGTGGGATTCGATGCCTTTGAGTCGCAGAGAGATAGCGCAGACCGTAGAGATGCAGACAGGTAGAGCCGCGCCGCAGCAATGCCCGCGTGTAGTATATGGTTTACACGAGTAATGGCTTTTATGACTGTCGGTTTCGTCGATTTTTCCCTTCTTACGGTAGCATGATTGTTTGGGAACCTTTTTTTATGAGCTGCAAATTTACCTGAATATTCGCTAAAAGAGCGAAACATGGAATAGTTTTCTTGCCTTAGATCTTGGGATTTTTGAGATATGGTGCCTCTAAACTATCATATATTAATTGATAATATTTGGTATTTGATATACACGCGAAGCTATGACTTATCGATTGTGCAAATATTAGTTTTCTCGTCGGATTTCGAATTTTGGCTGAAAAGGACACCTAGTGCAACTGCATCACTCACTCAGAGTAATCCTTTGAGAGCTATTGTCAGTGAGGAAATCCTTTCGTAGCCTTCATAGAGAGATTTTGTCGATGACAAGGGCTGTATGTTTCGTTTGCAAAAATTCAATCAACGTATTCCAAATAATAGTGCACTTTAATGTAAATTTAAGGGGATTTTGCAAACAAAACGTACGATATTTTGAATTTGCGGTTTTAGATCACAAATCCTAGCTGTTTTATCGAAACAAAAAAGATTTTGGCTCGTTTTTACTATTTGTTTTTATCTTTAGAGTTTCACATACATTCCCATGGTATTTCACCTAATATAGTGTGCTTGCGGTGCCGAGATTGGGCGACCAATATTGCGCGTGAAGTAATGGTTGCGTTGGTAATGCTGGTCACTTGCGCGCGCAAAGTACCTGCATCAGTAGCATGCCGTACTCGCCCGCTCAGTTGACACATTTGCTGCAGAATCTCAACGTTATAATCAAAATCGCATTCTTTCTGTTTGAAAAAAAAATTTTTTTCTGAGTAGCGGCGTAATTCTGCTCAGAAGCTTTTACGAACCAAAAAATTGTGTGCTATTAACGACAGTTCGAAAAGGCCTACTGTACTGAAAATGAGTTTTCTGCAAAACGTTAATGTGTATTTTACAGGTCGTTGACGTTTACGATCTAGCAGCATCAATAGGAAAGGATTTCGAAAAAATTATCGAACAGCATGGAAATGACTGTGTACGAGGGATTATGCCAAAAGTGAGTTTTTCACTTTTTCTGTTACGATATTTCTGCTTCTACATTGTGCAATGAGATGAATAAGTGCACACATATGAGAAATGCATATGCACATACACACATAGCCTTTTCTGGGAATTTCCAGCAATTTTTCCCAACGACGATTTTTCTAGAAAATGATGAATCACCGTCGCTTTCTCATACAGAGGAGACAGACATGCATTTCTCACGTGGGAACCACTTGAGGTTTTTCATTAAGAAAGTTAAGCAGAACGAAAGCAGTCGATAAGGCACTGCAAATGAAGGTTCTCTTGAGAACAGGGAAAGGCTTAGCTAATAGGCTTGACGCACCGGAATTTCCACTTTAAATGTTGATTTACTGAAAATTTTGATACCCAAAAATTTTTGCCATTCAAAGGTGGGGGGGGGGGGGGGGTGGTTGAGTACGCAAGTTGACTAGAGTCGTAGCAACGGCCGAAATTGGCGATTAAGACTATGTACACAGACAAGAGGAATTACAATCACCATAATTGATTGAAAGTTTGCATTTTATAAAATTCACCCGCTTTCCACAAACAATCACATTAGATAACTTTCTGCAGCAGAAATGGATACTGTCCTAACACTTTGTTAACTCTAGTTCTGGTGATTCAAATAGAAAGAAAGTCTTTCCCGAAAACAGCTTAGTTCATATCGACACAATAATCTAGGTTTAACTATCATCGGCTGCTGTTATGACATCCCAAAAACTGTTTATTTTTTCTGAAGAATGAAGGTAGAGTGAAGGCATGGCAACGCATTCTGTTGGAAAGAAAACTCGCCAGAACTGCTGGTGAAGAATTCTCTGCGTATGGATAGGAGGGCTGGAGGGAGAGGGAACTAAAGTTTTTGTGGAAAGGCGTCAGTCGCATGTTTCGAGATTGTCAAACCTTGTCGATTTGCACGTTTCATAACAGATATGAGTAAAACTATCACTGATTATTGAAGATAATTGTTGGATAGTGTAACATCAATGGTGTAGTCAGTCGGAATTATCTGCCTAATTTTGTTATCCCTAGATGAAGCAATCTCAGACATTTGCTACATTTTTGGAGGAGACACAGTTATGCCGAAGAAGGCAACAGGTGTCTGCCATTTTTTTTTGTTAGAAATCTATTCATTTAGTCCAGAAACAATTTCGCAATGTGAAAGTATACCTTCCGCATTATTTTGACAGAGGTTCGAATTTTAGTTCTTCGTGCCGTTTTATGTGATTGCTCGGAGACTACTATAATGAAGCTTTCTTCTCCATGCTATAAAGATAGACGAAAAGCTGACGCAGATGGCTGCCTAACCGTCCTTTTTACTGGAAATAATTTTGAAGTTTTTCAATGGTTCCGCTTCCCACGCATCATTCCCAGATTTATAAATGCTTTTCACGAAACACCCAACTAATGCATGCTGCGGAGATTTATGCAATGACGCGAGTATAGGGCTGATATTTTTGGGGTACTCGCGTCATTTCTCTTGAATTTTTATTTTTGACACTGCACAACATTCGAACAATCCATCCATCTTCCGCCGCAAAAGGAGTTCAGCAAGGTGTGAGAATGTGAATGGTGGTAGGCGTGAAAGGGATTGTTGGGGGTTTGAAAGTCTGAAAGGGAATTTTTGCGTCATGGTAAATAAATTTGTGTTGACTTTGCTGGGTAATATTTCATACCCATCTAAGCTACGTATTGAATTGCACAGACCAATCCAGTTGATTGAAGCAGCCAATTTCAGCTAAGATAGTTCATCTGTTTGATTTTTGCACTAAGCACACAAAATTTTAGGATGATGGAAATATTTTGCCAATCGGTCGCATTAAGAGCCCCCACTTTCTTGAGTAAACCCAAACAAGCTGGAGATATTGCGAATGTTCTAGAACTCAAAGATGCTCTCTTTACAACAGCGCGTGTCACTTACGTCAAACTGGTTCCACTTCTTGGTGAAGTGGTAAAGCAGCGAATCTTCATGATTGATGGGGGCTATTGATTCAGTGTCACACAGATCCACTTAACGGGGGAGCTCATCTCGATGAACTTACTATGCAATCCTAGATTTATCAAATGTTGTGGAAAACCATTTTGACATTATGTCACTATTTACTCGCTTAGAATAATGAAAAACAATTTATAGAAGACTTTGGTGCAAACATAAACGACATGTTCTCCTATGAACCAAAATTAGATTTGGTTAAGGAAATAAATAAGAAATGGTAAGTAGCTGGTAGAAGTTCATCGGCGAATCCTTCCGTTATCACTTTCCATTCGCAAAGATATTGAGGGTCTTCTAGCTGCCTGATCGAACAATAAGGGACCCGTCATACTTCGCCAAGAAAAGTCCAAAATGCTCAGAGCCCAAAAACCCTGAAAAAGCTCAAAAAAACCGGAGAACCCGAAAGTGCCAAAAAGAGCCCGAACACAGAAACGAACTTTTGGTAGACTGACATTATTTTGATATGCAGACGACAGAAAATGAACAAAGACTCGGTTGCGGAATAAACACACATGCCTTAGCGCTAAAATGTGCGCGGGGAAAGGAGAGTTCCGGCTCTTTCTAGCGCTTTTGGGCTTTTTTAGGCGCTTTTGTGCTTTTCTCGGCGAAGTACGATGGGTCCCTAAGATCCGAAGCCCACCTGCTTCCGGCTGAGCCATTCACTAGGTTTGAAATGCTATTCTCCAGTACCTCAATGGATGACCTACACACTGAGCAAAGCGCTTCAGTAAATATTGGGTTTTTCACTTGGCAGGATTTGATTTTGCTCAGCTTGTCTCGTTATGACTATAATCGATCTCTCCAGCCGAGCTCTCCAAGCCTCCTTTTAAAGAAATTGCTGGAAAACCCGAACAGATTATGCGCCTTGTTAGATTTTCAGAATGAGCCTTTTATTGCAGTTTGGTTTTTGCTTTCCAATCAAAATGAGCACTGTTTTGAGAAGAGCATGATAGCTTCAAATCATTGTATCAGGCATTATCGGCGAAACGTTAGACTGAATAAACATCTTACAAACCTGCGTGGCTTAAACGTTATTTTATGAATTCAAGACAATGCCCAGGTTTCATGATCAAAAAACATATAGAATATTATTGCAACCTTTGCATAGATTGTAAAACCCATACATGGATTTTAGGTTATATCAGCGTTGGAAACGTTAGAATCCCTTGCCAACAATAATGAACGAGAAAATGAGGAAATTCTGGCGCTGCAGAAGACGGTCGAACGTCTCGAGCAAGAGAAGCAAGCCAGGCAATTGCAGACTGCCAAGTTCGAGGAGGTAAGCGATTTTGATTTTTCGTATTTTGCTTCCTTTGAATCAGTGCTCAGTTTGAATGAGTACGCACAAAGCGATCAATTTCCTTTGGGATCTATTTGTATCAAGGCAAAAATTCTTCTTATAAAATAAGATTTTTAAATGTTTTCACGGAATTTGCCTCAACTTTTTTCTTTTTCGTTTCTTTTTGAGCTTAAAAGATGCTTTCTCTTCCATTTACAATTTTCGTAATTGTTTAGGAACTTGATCAAGTTGAAGAGACTTACAAAAAGGATATCAATGAGCTGCGAATGATGGTGAAAACGTTGATGTCAGAGAACAGAACGTTAAGCACCACGGTATCTTCCTTACCAGCTACGGCCGAAAGTCCTACGACAGCAGCCAGTGAGTCATGTCAATGTTACTTAGGTACAAATCCTTCTTTATGATCGTTCCTTTACATTTAGTGCATGAAGAAGATGTAAAAATGATGTTTGAATTGAAAGAAATGTCACATAAGCAAAAAGAAGAAATCAAAGCCTTACAAAAGGATGTTGAACAATATGCTTGTGAAGTTGAAAATGTAGGTTCAATATTTTTTTTGTTCTGTTATGAAATTATCCTTTGTAATACAGAGCGTAGTTTCAATTTTACAGCTTCAAAACTCCATAGAAAAATTGATCCGACAAAATGAAGAACTTTTGCGGAAGAATGCATCATTACAAAAGCAAGGTCGAATGATAGTCGAAGAGAAAATGGAGATTATACGAAGGTATGATTTCTTTTTGTTTCATTTTGCGGTTTTACGTGAACCATCTGATTATTCCTATCAATACAAAAGCAAAATGTTTTTTTCATACTCGACAGCTCCCATAAGGCTTTCTATGGTACTTGAAAAAAGTAAAATTTGTTGCTTTTCGCTAATTTGTTAGCTTTCATTGCAAAAAAAATTGATTACCGCTCCTATTAATCATTTACTCGACCTCGCATCTGTTTAATTCTGACTGAGAAACAGGAAAATTGGGAATCTTACAATAGTGATTACTAGGTTCTCACGTTTGAAAAATGGTTTGGAGATTAATTCTGAAAACTGAAGTTATGAAATACTATCAATCTTTTTGTCCTTTTTGATTATTTTCGTTAAATTTCCAGCTGCGAAGGCTATGAAAATTTGTAAAAAAAGAGCAAAGAAATCATATGCGCGAAGGAAATTCATTTTTGGAAATATGTATGGGGGCGGGGCGGTATTGCAAAACCACACCCACACAGCTTAACAAAATACTGGAACAAATTTTTTCGAGATTTCCAGCAAAATAATCTCTGTGTTGCACTTTTGAGTAGCATTATATTTTATCGCCGTAGATTGCGCCATGAAATCTCGAAAAAAAAAATTTTTAAATGCGAAATCTTAATCGAATGAGCGCTCGTCTGAGGCATGCATATCCAACTTCTCAGAATTTTCAAAGTATTTTCACTGATTTCAATTTGTTTTCGTTGAGCTAAGTCAGATTTTGCCATCTCAGGTTAGAAAAAACAGAAGAAGCAAACATCCAACTAAGGCGAATGCTTAGTGACACGGATAGAGCTTGCAAAGACCTGCAACAGGCCAGTCAAGTAAGTTTGTTGCGCAAGTTTGTTTTCGAAACGTTGATTGTCTGCAATTACGTCTTGCACTTATAGTTGGATGACGAGCCCCGATTCACACTTGCCGAGTTACGAGAAGTGTTGCAAGAGAAAAACGTGTTGAAGGGTCGAGTAATGGAACTGGAAGAAGAGTTGGAAAATCTTCGACCGGGACGAAAAGAGCGAGAAGTGGAGGATTTGTTAAGGTTTGAGTTGTTTGTGACTTGCTGGTGTGTTTGGAAAAAGTCTATACTCATAGATCCAATCAGGGTACTTTTCTAAGTGTTCAATATTTTTTTCGGGTTCTATTTTTATGAATAGCAAATTATCAGTTTTATAGAGCTCCTCATATCGATTACCTACGAAACAGCGATCCAAACAAACTTTAGAACCTAAGCTATAGTAATGTGGTCGGGGGAGAGGGGGGGGGGGCTCGAAAATGGAATGGTAGTTAGTTGAATTTCAAGTCATGTTAGATTTTGTTCGTGAACAACGAAAAAAAAGGACTTTTGATGAGAATTTAGATCTGTGAGAAATTTACTAGAGAGTATGGCTTAGGTCAGGCGTTTTCTTGACCCTTCGGGCTGAATATTCGCAAAAAATTGAATTTTTCCGCAGCAGTTTTGAAAGACGTTGTTGATGCGTTCATGAAAAATTCCTTTTTATACAGAAAGTTCTGTGACTCTCCTCTCTTTCCTTCGCACCCCCCCCCCCCTCCCTTTTCTGCAATTTTGCGACGCTGCTGGATCGCACAAATCTATTTTTCTGGTCTCTTCTCTATCGAACCTAGGACTTAGTTTAACCGAGGGGCATATTGAGTTCAGATAGTCATTTCAGCGATATGTTTCAGAATGTGGAGACTATGGAGTGAGAAATTTTTGGCACGTAGTCGTACAGCTACCGAAACTTTCATTGAGAATGGATATTATTACCTTACAAAACATTGATGTACAATATCAAGACATTCATATTGCATAATTTTTCGTACAAAATCGTTTGTGCAGCTCAGATCGAAAGCTCAAAATAAAGTATTCATATGAGAAGCTCAATTGCACTTCACAGACAATATAGTTGTTTATGCCAAAAACGATTCATAGTGTGGTACAAAATTGGTAATTTTGTTGCCAAAGCCTTTGGGAGATGAAATTGTCCTACGAACCCTCTGTCTACACTTTTATCCTGCAAATTTGAGTTTTCCAGCCCTTCGAGCGCCATCCGGAATCTTGTGGAAAATCAGATAAACAGGTCAAGCATGATATTATAATTTTATTTCATTTATCATGTCTCGATCTCAAAGTTAGTAGAGAATATCTGTGCGAGCTTAGGTCTTTATTATTATTCGTCTTGAGTTCTTCACTGTGCTCTTGCAGACAAAAAAGGACAAAAATGCCATAAATCACCTTTTTTTACTAAAAAAGAAAGTTTTGTTAAAAGTGTACATAGTAGTTTTCAATGAATGTTACACACAAAGGGTTGTAAAAGAAAGAGCGAGAAGAATTTGCATGATTGCTGTGATACTAAGAAAGCAAAATTAACTTTTTGAAGTTTAACAAGTAACGAAGTAATTTTACTTGGTGTGATCAAAATAAAAATTTATTAAAATTGTTCTTATGCAAAGCTGGGCCACTGCGAATTTAGAGTCCCGCCAGAGTGCCGAAGTTATGCCAGCGCTATGCCAGCATTTCGATCGATACACGTGTATTTCGTTGGGGGCATATACCTGCTGAGCTAGCCCCGCCCCAACGAAATACAAGTGTATCGATCGAAATGCTGGCGCAGCGCTGGCATAACTTCGGCACTCTGGCGGGAGCCTTATGGATAAGATTTTGGATATATGAACCAGTGCGAAATCCGAAATTTATTCGTATCTGCGTAATTTTAGCATTTAATAAGGAATGAAAATACAAACTCGAAATTCTGATAAATTTATTATCCAAATATAATATTCTTGAAACAACTTCATGCTTCTGTACGCTTATAGTTCATAGTGTGAATGTTCTGCTCAACATCGTCTTTTAGCGATGAACCTCCAAGAAATGATGAAGGAGAGGAGATGCTTGTATATGGGCCACTTCCTCGGGAACCAGACGAGAAGCTGTATCCATGGAAGTATGAACGGAAAGACAGCGGCGTACGAAGATTGTGAGTTATATATCGCCTTGCCTTCTTTCATCAAAATTTCCATTCAAGAATATTCGCTAAAACAGCTTATTTTCCAGCTTCCGCTTCTTCAAAGAACTTGGCGCGGCGACGCCGTCACCGCGACGCGGCTCGTCCGCGAACAACTCGCCCCGCCCACAACGTGCAAATGCGGGAAATTGAGCACTGATCAAATCTTCACCTAAATTATTCTAGTCTATTTCTGAATTGCAAAGTGATATGGACTCTATGACGTCACACCACCCCTTCGCTACGATTCTTTCTCACGGTCTCACTATCACACACCCAAAATAGTATTTGACACGAGTTGTTCGCAATTTTTATGTCAGTTGTCCTCACCAGCTCAACTCGCTCCATTAACAGTTGTCCTGACATGAATTTGCGAACAGCTAAATTTCGCTAACGCTACAGCGGCGCTAAACAGGTTTTGCATTGCCAAAAAACTTATCTTAGAATGTGTGTCTAATCCTTTACTTAACCCTATTAGGTAATAAAAACTATCGCTAGGTAAGCAATATTCTAGCCGGTTGCTTATTGATTTATTGATTGATTGACCAATTCCGCTGGTTTATTGTCATTCATTGTTAGTTTGCCATACAAAATGTATTTAGTGTATAGAAAAAATAAAGCCTATTTCACCAAGGAAAGGAGTGTCAGAGACGCAGAATCGGAATCTGCTTCTCTGCACTCACCCGCCCACGCTTATCGGTGCAATAGGCTGAGATATATTGCTTCTATTCTCTATTTTTTCCCAAAATGGGTTTCAACTCGGAGAATCTGGTCAATTTTTGGCTTTTGTTCATTGTTCGACTCGTTGTGAATCTCAATTTGAATAAAACTATCATCGCTAAATCTTCTCACATTGTGACGTCATTGCTACTTTTTCGTGCACTCTTTGATTTATTACAGATCAAGCTCCCAAGCTCAAATGAGCGGCTTGCTGGCAATTACTGGCATAATTTGGGAGAATATTAGGTGTGTACAGCAGGCTCCGCCCACAAAGAGATCCGTACATGTGGAGCGGAGAGCAATTTTCGCTAGCGATAGATTCGATTATTTCGAAGCATCATCTGTTTGTGGAAATCATTTTCGATCTCTCGTATGATTGGCCTATAGACATCGACGGTGGCGTTGATTCCGAAGACGAAGTCAAGATGGCTGTAGTGCGGCAAATCGTAGCTTCCGCGTATTGTTTCATTCATTGCTGAGATTATCGTGTCTCTGAAACATAAAATTGTTGGGAAAAAGTGATGTTATAAAGGAACATGAGTTCTAATATGGTTTACTATCTTGAATCTGCACACCAAACTATTTACTATTACTCTACACTGAAGTGATCAAGGAACTCACTTGCCTAACGACACCTTTCCACTTTCGTACCTTGAGTATGGGTGTAAGCATTCGCACTATCGTAACGTCGTTAGGGCTTTCCATACGGGAAGAGAGTCGCGCGCAACTCACCCTGCGGCGGGTTTTGCCCAAGCAATGGAGGGGAGTAGAGTTTGCCGCTAATGTTGAAAGGCAAGTCATGCAGACTGTTTCTCCTTCTCACCAGCATAATTTTAGTTCTAAGCATTGATTATGTCGTTTTTTGGTTTCAAGGCACCGTCTACCAAATTCTCGACTTCCATTTTTTATCGCATTCAGGCCTACTGAAGGTCCTGATTTCGAGAGAATCCGTGAAACCGCGAAAACTCTCATTTTGGAAAACAAGCGGGAACGGGTGCATTGCAAGTCGAGGGGCTGCGGTATACGCCGGGGGCGTCATTTGCAAGCCAGCAAAGTGGGCGGGGTGACCAGCTAGGCGGAGTGAACAGCACCGACTACGTTCCTTCCGGGGTGGATTTTGCTCTCCGGTAGCAATTTTTTGCTACATAACTTGGGGATTGCTTAGTGTGTGGGGCCCACGCCCATATGCCATCGTGATCTCGTCAACCCCCACTTTGGGTAGGCGGTGCCTTTGCTGTAAAATGATTTGTTTTGAAACTAGCGTATGTACAAGGTAGATGTATAATTGTACTCTCCAAGGTTTGTTTTCTACGTACAGAGAAGCCGCTATGCTGCTAGAAGCGGAGTTTTCCAGTTACAGAGTTAGTTTGTTCTTGCGGAATTTCTTATCACGTGTATTTAGAAGTTATGTGTATAATACTATAGGCATGAGCAAGGTGGATTGCAGCACGTTTCAGGAACTTTAGAAGCTGTATTTTGCAGATCAAGCACGCAAAAATCAAATGTACTGGGTAATAATTATAATACTTTGTCTCTTTTCAAGGCTACGTCTAAAGCTACCGGTGGACTAGCGCTAAGTCAGCGCTAATACGGTTGCTCTGTTTTGATGGTCGACGGCGCAGGCACAGTGGTAGCATACGAGCACTGAGCGCATCCAACTTTGTCAGTGCTAGTATTCAAATGCGGGGTTAAGTGGTGTATGGTAAGAAACGACGGTCATGACCATTCGGACCAGGGATCGATCCGACCCCTGGGCCAACCAAGCCTTCCACCTCCCTCCCCCCCCTCCCCTCCCTCCAAGTAAATGGTAACAGAGTAATCTGGAAGGATTGAAGCATTGACTTGGTAAAGCGCTAACCCCCGCAAATAATTGTAAACGGTCATACGCACTAAAATGCCTCTTCAACTACGGAGTAAAATCGAGGTAACCCGTCGCATCCTCTAGTATCCGATTGTTAGTGCAGGAATTATGTCTTGAGGTCACCTGACGGGAGATATTTCCTCTTAGAGTGAAAACCAAAGTAGTGTTTTCAATGCTAAGACAGGTTAAGAACCGATATTTTTCTCTTTGCAGTTGAACTTATTTGGGATGGTGATGGGACAATTAACCATCACTCACTGCACGGAGGAACGTTCACTGCGTCTGACAAAAAGAAACGACGAAAGTCCAATAACAATGAGCAAGTCGGATTTCCTTTTTTTATGTAAGAATTCAAAAATTCTGCTTACTTACCTAATGTCATCTGTATCAGCTAGGATGTCGTCCTTGCTCCAGTACAGGAAAGTTGGTGTATCAATTTTGCTCAGATTGTAGGTGGGTGGAAACTTCTAAAGGAAAAGTTCTTGAGGTGTGCTGAAATTATGAGAACTCACAGTTCCATATTCAGCCAGGTTTCCACTTTCGCCATAGTCAAATTTCTCGAATTTTCGAGACCTGACTACCTGAATGATATGTAATCAATCGTTTTTTGGGAGAAATACATTCAATCTAAAAGCCTCCGTCATTTTTTTCCGGAAATTGAAAATTACTTCCTTTCAAACCGAGGAAATTCTGAATCTTGAACTTAAGCTTCTTGAAGTGAACTATGAAAGTACCGTAGTCAAATATGGCACAATTCTCGAAAAAGGACATTTCTTTCAGAGATGATTGTTTAAAGAATAGTTGGACACAGTCTGATTCTTTCGAAAAATACCTGCACCCAATGTAGCAAATTTTTGGAAGACGTAGCCGCTGGAATATGGCAAAGATAAACTCCAATTCTACTCTGAAAAAAAGTTCCTGTTGTTTGAACTGATCCAGGATTCACTTACCTTATTCAGCATGTGTTCCCTGCCATCAATAAATCCTATGTCGAGCGTACAGATTGCTTGTGCCTTTGGTAGGCTGAATAAGACGGATGTTATATATTTAAAAAACTGACTTTCAAAAATAAATCAACTCACTTGCAAAATAGGCTCACGACTTTTTGTAGCAGTTTCGGCAATGCCAGCGGTGTGTTTGGGATTCGGTGCAGAAGGAACTGAAAAATGCATGTGAATGTATCTCCCACAAAAGTTCTTCGACAGAAAAAACTACCAAAAACCAGTAGAACGCTCGAACCAGCTGTTAATTGCTGGTTTACACTTATGTGCAAGAGCAAAACGAGCTGTTTTTGCAATAGTTTGCAAAATGCTACTACAAAACTCGATTTTACAATTTATAGGACTACTCTAGAACTGGTATGGGTTGTTTTGTTTGTAGTACGAGAACATTTTTTTTTCGTTACTTAGAGCTGCAAAGCAATGATCCGAGTACTAAACTAGTCTGATGCTTACACAGTAAGGAAAGACAGAGATATGAGAGAATTTCTTAGGTTAGTGAGTTCGCACTGGGTGTTTTTTTGCGTCACTCACAGAGTGACGTAAAAGAACACCCAATGTGATAGTCAACGATACTCGATAGCAGAGTTTGAAAGGTGGTGCGGGGGGGAGGGAGGGGGAGAGAGAATAGAGTTGATCTGATCCGTGCAATTATTCACTTTTATGTAAATTGAAGACCAAATCCTATAGACGTAACGTAACGCATAATCTTTCAAATTTTAGCCTCCAGGGTTAGTACAACTGTGCGGCAAAGGGCAAAAGTGGAAATCGACTTTGAACAAAGCACAAAACTTGAACATTTTTGGAAGGTAAAGTATTGGGCTGTCGAGAAATTGATGCCGCTTTTTATTTGCTTGCTTGGGCAGAGCAATCAGGCATACCCAGGACCTGGAGGGATTTTTCTCTAAAAAAGGTGCGTGACGTTCGCCATGCACTCCTAAAAAAATTCTTGTATGTTTCCTAAAATTTTTTCGGGCCCATAGCCGCGAAATTGGAAAAAGGGGGGGGGGGGTGGCGAAGAAAATTTTGAGTCCGTTTCTAGGGTTTTTGAAAACGAAGTCCCCCTTGACTTTTGCCAAAATTTACGAAGTCCTCCTTGGCCCCAAAACATATCCGTAAAAAACCCTTGAAAAACGAAGCGTCGACTAAAAAAACGTCGCAACTTTTGCGTATTTTCGGCCACGAAAACGAAACCTTTTTTGCTTTTTTGCCCCAAAAACGAAGTCCAACTCGTTTCCATACGATCTGTGCCGGACCCTGGGCACACCCCAAAATTGCCTAAGGGATTGTTCGATGAAGCAAAGCAAGCTCAACAAGCTGGCATTCATAATTTAGAGCCAAGTTTGGTCCAAGGAATGTTTGAACTCGAGATTCAAAGAGCGAATCAGTTTGAAGGATAGTATATCGCCTATAGGCTCTACCAACGTGGGAGAGTGGTACTTATGAAGAAAGCTACCTAACTTAGCTTCGTCTTTTGGCAAAAGACATAAATAATCTGAATCAGCTTCAAACAAATATGCTATTCCTAGGTGCCAAGCACCATTCCGAAGCGAGTTATAGGCTTATTCCTGCGCAAAATTGGCATACAACTGAACATGGGAAGACCGCCTGTAGGTAAGGTGCTGGGATGCCAGTGAGTCGATGAGTATGCCCATTTTGCGCAGAAATAAGTCCATAACTCGTTTCGGAGTGGTGCGCGGCAGCTAGGAATAGCATATTTGGAATCAGCGTTTGAAGCTGATTCAGAATGTATATGTTCCTTGCCAAAAGGCCGAGCTAACAAAGGAAGCGTCTTTAGTCGAAGTGGCCTTTCCCATTGGCACCTATGTCACTTTGTAGAGCATTGAACGATGACTCCAAATCTGCCTTCCATATCTGCCAAGCGCCTCTGTAGGCCGAGTTAAGAGCGTTTTTTAAGTCGAAAAACTGAATGCACAGTTGGAACAAAGTCGTCCAAGACTGCTCAGATGGGCACGTGTTGATTACCAGAGCACTTCATTTAATGAATGCCTTTTGTCTAATACCCTCATACTCAACAGTGCTCTATTTGAGCGCAGGAAAAATCGTAATTATTGTTTTTACATAGATTCTGCGTTCATTTTTTACTCCGAAAAACACTCATGACTAGGCGCCCAGGGGCGCTTGGCAGATATTGAGAACGGATTTGGCATCAGCGTTGATGCTCTTCAAAGTGGTGTAGGAATCATTTGGAAAGGCCACTTCGACTAAAGACGCTTCCCTTGCAAGTTAGGGTAGCTTCCTTTGCTAGCTGTAATGTGTGATGAGGTGAGGTTTGTAAGAAATGCTACGCAGGAAACGTAACGTCCTCAAGCCATAAAGGTAGTATCTTATTGTTAGATTTAGGCATCAAATTTGAGCGAGCCACTATTTGCGGATAGCAATGTATCAATTAATTTAGCTGTTGAAGTCATTGTTTAAGTTAGAACTATCAACTCACGTCTGCAAAATCCATAAGGTAATGGCCAAAGATCTTGTAGAGGCCTCCTATATGCGATACGGTAGCGACAGGTGCAAGCGCAAAGAATTGGCGAATCTGGAAACAGTGGCTCCGTAAGTCCATAGGACACGAGAGTCTGTTGGCCTACCTTCTTGCTAAATTCTGGGTCTTCGGCAAGTTTTGCGAACATCATAATAGTGCCTTGCGAGTGTCCGACGTAATATAATTGGCTCTAAATGAAGTTTTCTTACGAGATACTCATTTTATCTTCTTCGGCATATTCTCATAACTTTGATTTATGGCTGCATACCTCTCCAGTTTCGTGCAAAACGTAGTTGATGCAAGCCGGTAGATCGTATGAAGACATGTCCTGCCATCTAAACTAACTTTATGGAGCTTGGTATGGAAGAAAAAGTAACCTCAATTAAAGGACGGAAAATTTGAAAAAAAACCTACATTTCGCACAAAAGACAAGACAATACCCCAACGTACAACAGAGCACCTAACTCGAGTGGAAAAGATGGGTTGCAGTGTATTGATCATGGAATCCATCGGGATCCCGTGACTTGATTAAAAATGATTTTACGAGATTTGACGGCGATTTTTGGAATGCCACTGCTACAAGGTTTCGAAAAAACATCAAGTTCCCAACATTGGGAGCGGCGGAAAAATCGCACGCGACCTTTTCATCGCGATTTTTTCGTCGCGGGATTCGATGAATATTCTTTCAGTGGAAGCAAACGTAGAATAAATGATGATTTTTGACTTGTATCGTCCGTCTTGAAAATCTTTGAACCAAGTTAGGAGGTCCCGACAGTTCCGCCAGGATTATACAATACCGCTCACAGAATGTGCAAAATTTCCGTAAATGTCGCAGAATTCCGAGTCCGCGAAGGTTCGCGAAATTCCGGGAATTTTGCGACATTCCCGAAATTTCGCGAAATTCATGTAAATCACGCAAATTACGCAGGGCCATAACTTCGTTCCGAATGAGTATATTCAAAATCCGAAAACAGCATTGTATTCAGCTCGTCAAGGCGAATCTTTTGGTATACAGGCTGTCTCCAATATCCTCTTTTCAATAATCTTGAATCTGCATGCGGACGCCTTTTCGCGTGGGTGTAACGCAACAAGCATCACACATAGGCATATTTGAAATCCGAAAACAGTATTGTGTTCAGCTCGTTAAGGCGAATCTTTCGGTATACAGCATGTCCCTGAAATTCCATTTCCAATTTTTTCAATATTTTCTGCGCGCGTATATTCGCAAGGTCGCAACGCAGCGCACATCAAACATAAAAGACTCCAATAAGCACTATTGGATTGTGCTGCTCCCGCAGATTACCGAGCGCTAAAAACGAACTGGAGAATCTTTTTCGAAAAAGATAGAAGAGCTGGTGAATTCTGGAAAAATCGTGTTGTGTCAAATTTTGCCCACTGTAACCCTAAAATGAGAAGCTCTACTGCTAAGCAGATGTGCTTTTCGTAATTAGCAGGTCAGATAACCTCTATGAGCAAGTTTTCAAAGAAATTCGGGTGATTTGATTTTTTCTCGTTCTACGCCCTGAAGCTCGCCGATGGGTTTTGGTCAAAATGTCGATGATCTCGGATTGTAAGGAAACTTCGCTCAAAGAGGTTATCTGACCTGCTGATTACGAAAAGCACATCTGCTTAGCAGGAGAGCTTCCCATTTTAGGGTTACAGTAGGCAAAATTTGACACAACACGATTTTTCCAGAATTCACCAGCTCTTCTATCTTTTTCGAAAAAGATTCTCCAGTTCGTTTTTAGCGCTCGGTAATCTGCGGGAGCAGCACAATCCAATAGTGCTTATTGGAGTCTTTTATGTTTGATGTGCGCTGCGTTGCGACCTTGCGAATATACGCGCGCAGAAAATATTGAAAAAATTGGAAATGGAATTTCAGGGACATGCTGTATACCGAAAGATTCGCCTTAACGAGCTGAACACAATACTGTTTTCGGATTTCAAATATGCCTATGTGTGATGCTTGTTGCGTTACACCCACGCGAAAAGGCGTCCGCATGCAGATTCAAGATTATTGAAAAGAGGATATTGGAGACAGCCTGTATACCAAAAGATTCGCCTTGACGAGCTGAATACAATGCTGTTTTCGGATTTTGAATATACTCATTCGGAACGAAGTTATGGCCCTGCGTAATTTGCGTGATTTACATGAATTTCGCGAAATTTCGGGAATGTCGCGAAATTTCGGGAATGTCGCAAAATTCCCGGAATTTCGCGAACCTTCGCGGAATTCTCGGAATTCTGCGACATTTACGGAAATTTTGCACATTCTGTGAGCGGTATTGTACGCTGCAACCTGCTTTTTCCACCCTACTTAGGGGTTGCATTGGGGAGGGAGGGGAAGAGGAGGGGAAGGAATTTTCATTGTTGAAGTACTCAATCAACTTGTTTTCGCTCACAAAACGATTCACCGTTAACGAGGGTCACACTTTTAGTGGCGAGAACAGTTGTTTGATTTCAAAAGAAGAGTTTAATTAGCGAACGAATTGTTCGCCGAAATGAAAGTTTTTCGCTCACAAACGAAAGGAAATGGGTACAAACTCCATCGAGTTTTATGTAGATTTTTTAGGCTGAAACTACATAATTTTAGTTCAACAAGCTGCCTTATTTCACTCTTTCGCTCTGCAAGCTCGGTTAGAATTTAACTCACAGCTGAATGAATAAGTCGCTGTCTAGTGAACTATGAACTTAGGTTTTTTCCTTCCGATGATTTTATTCGAAACGCCCTGGAATGCTAGCTGAGAATGGAATTCAAATGACCAACACCAACAGAGAGGAGCACAAATTTAGATCTATTTCTTGGGTTTCCTCAACAGGTTTCGAGCTCAAAATCATACTGATTGGACGAGAGAAACCACTAGGTTATCGCAAAAATTTTCTCCTTCTCTTGATCTGTTATGACCTTAGAACACTAATCTACAAAAGACTTCGACATCATTCGATTCAGATTTTCTGAAGGCTACATTTCCATTGCTAACGCCATCGCTTTATGAGCAGTCGGACAGTGACGCCATATTTCTCTTAATCTCTTAATTGATAAAATTTTCAGCAGCTATTATGGAAGCAGGCTTTTGGCTACATTTCAATTCAAAATCTAGGTCAAATTTTCAAAGTTTGTGGTAGTGTTTACTTAAATAAATTTCAGTTTTTTGACACAGGTAGCATCTAGGCGAATACTCAAGAAGACTAATTAATCGAAGCAGAACTTGGTTATGTTGCACAACCAAAATTTGATGACCACGCTTCAGTTCGCCAAACTTTTGAAAGCCATCACTTTACCAAATTTGAGATCTTCAAAAAAAAAACGATTTTGCAAAGCTCGACAGCAGACTAAAAGAATCTGAGAACTACCACATGGTCCGATATTTGCTTTACTCGCATCATACCTGCGCCTTCAGTAGGACTAGATTAAAATTTTCGAAGTTTAGCAGCACTCTGAGCAGATAATGATGACAGATGAAGAATTTCGGCGATAATTAAAAGAGCTCAGAAGATTGTGGTTCAATGAAGTAAGAGAATGAATGGTAAAAAGTACATCGAATGCATGCTCGAATGCATTTAGGTCTTTACTTTACTAAAGTTCTAGTCGCTCAAAAAATGGACAAATTGAGACACCCCAGTATCATACAGTCAAGAATATATCCACCCAAGTCTTTTCCTTGCTCTTGTCAAGCTGGGACCTTTCTGCGGCGTTGATTACGGATGTGAAAAATAAAGTGTGCAAAACCTCCAAGAAAAGCGATTTTTGGGAGCCCCATCCTAAAATCACAGACGATTTCCAGTACTTGGGTGGGCGGAGTCTGATAGCGGGCGTGGTTTGATAGCACACTCGAGGGTTTCGGGTACTTTTTTTCCACTCAGAGGCCACATCAAAGGACCGGACCAACACAGATGTCTTGCTCCTAAGGTCTTCTTGTAGACTAGAACTAATCGGACAAGCATTTGAGCAAAGAGCATAGCACATCAACAGCACTTCGCTTTTAGCGGTTTTATTGCGCAAATTAATTTACATAATTACCAGTACCGCCCCCCCCCCCCTCAGAATCGAGAAATTTTTGAAGCTTGCCTATATGGGTTATAAAAATGTGCAAACGACTTGGGCCTGCAAAAATTTTGAGAAGCACCCCAAAAAATTTTTCGGAGTGCGTGGCTAACGCCACGCACCTTCATGTGAAAAATTTTTTTTCGCCCCCCCCCCCGGTTAGAAATCCTGCGACCGCCACTGATAAATACATAACATTATCATCATTCGCACAAAAGCTAAATGTGATGCAGTCGTAAAAAGCGCCCAAGCGGCCAATATTCAGTATATTATTCAGTTTTGCCTTGCATAGAATTGTCCGGAACATATGCACAATTACAGCCGAGGTCCTTACCAAGAACTTTGTTCAATTCAATCAACAACAAAGTTTTCGTCTGCGTAGCACACAAAACAGCATTCGCAGCATTTTTCTGTTTCATGTTCTGAACTACATAAGCATTCGAAAACGTCACATTGGGGCCACTGCCCGAATGGGCCATTAATAAGTGTAACCGCCTCATCAGCATAGAAACAGAGAGCCTCTTGATGTCTGTGTATCAGTGTATTTTCCGTGCAAAACAAAAGATCTCAAGATTTAAGAAAGGGATGTCATTCTCATGTAGAAATGTTCAACTGCGAAGACGAAATCTCGGCTGAGAGCTTAGAGCTAGGAATTTGTCCCAAAAATAAACCATTCTCTCAGTTCGCTCACCCCTTGGTAGGTCATGAAAATATACTAGACTCGTAAAAAAGGATCAACTTAGTATATTACTTCTAGAGTGAATTACTGGGTAGATTCATATCCGTGAGGATAAGAGAACGCGTCATTTTTGGATATGAAACAAACAAGTCTCCCTCCCCCCCCCTTCGCTCTAGGTAAGGGCTTCTGTTAGAACAGCAGTAAATAAGGGAAGACTAGATCCTTACAAGAGGTGGTTTTTTCTTTTTGTATTCTGATGCCCGGAGAATGCAGAAATCGTTGGGAAAATCAGCAAACCGTCGTATTGATATTTTTGTGCATTTTTCGAGGTAAACAGAGCAAAAAAATTACAGGGGCGAATCAGAGAAAGCAAACTGCTGCTCTCTATTCTGTTGTGACTGAAGGGCACAGAAGAACAGTTAGCGTCGGGCAGTGGGGAGTAAGAATGCAAATGGGTTTTACATGGGAAATTTATGAATGTCTTAGTATGCAGTAGTCAAGTAAGTTGGACAAATCATATAGTGCCACTGCGGTGCAGACAGCATTCGCGCGTGAACGGATTGCCATGGGCCTCAAAACTCGAAAATGTGTGCTCTATGGCCATTTTAGCGTATATTGTCGTCATTACAGCCACAGCAAACCGCAGGCTCACTATGTAAACTGCCAAATCTACTATGTATACGCGTTCTTATTCTTGAAAATGCTATGAAAAGAAAAAGTAAAGTTGCTTCGCATCTTCAAGATAAAGTGTCAAGGTGTTTTTTCAAAAATTAAAGGGCCAAAAATTGAACTAACGTGAAATTCCAGAAACGGATGTCGTCGGGTCCATAACCAACATGTTTTTGTGAGGGCGGAGTTCCACGCGAATTCGCAATCCACACATCGAAACCGGCGTCGGCAAACACGAATGCTAAATGACATCAAATGCGATTAAATTAGAGGGGACAGAGTGTACATTGCTCGTTTTCATATCATGTATACGATTATGACAGCTAGTGCAATGTCACATGCGCACGATTCAACGGAGGACGTGGAAAATTCTAGAAAAAGTGGGTTCGATGCGAAACATAGCACAGGTACGCTTAGTATAATATAGCAGTGGCTCTATGCCAAGAGAGGGAAGTGGAGTGGAGAAGAAGGGGGAGGAAGGGAGTGGCTGGGTGGTGATTAAGAAGTGGAGTGGAAGGGGACACTTTCCAAAAAGTTGTGCGGCTAGGCACGCCCCTCCCCACCGTGTCTTTGCAAATTTGAAAAAATTTCATCTGTATATGAATTTTCAAATAAATTCTGGTTTCACAGAAATAAAAAAATACTTTTTAGAAGTTTCTTCGAAATTGAATGTAGCCCTAAAAATACGCTTTCATGAAGTAAAGTATTGAATGATCTCTCCCACCATCTCAGCCCTGCCAAAATATGATTCTTTTCGGTCAACCATTAATTTTTAATGAAAATTTCATAGCTATAGAACATTCCGCGCACCTTCGGAAACAGGTCGAAAAATTTGTGGATTAGTAGAGCTAAGGCTCGTAAACTGAACAATTTGAATTCCCATGCAAGCAATACCAAACATATGTAGTACCAGATTACCAGATTACCAGCTCCTCTCACTCAAAAATAGGTCGCGAACTTTGTAAATTTTTTACATTCTATTTATTGAGCGACTTGGTATTGAAGATATTGTAAATGTGAATTTTTGAACATTTTTGAAAATTCAGGTTAGCTTTGTTTGTCGAGATCATGGCTACCACCACCCCTCTTTTCGAAAAATTTAGGGGTTATATGCTTACTTGAACGTTGGGTTCGAAAGCGTGGGCTAGCGCCACGCCCTTTCTTTGAATTTGAAATCTCTTTTGCCTATCCCCTGAAGCGAGATTTTTCGGCCACCACTGGTTCATTCAAAACAAACAGTTATGCTGCTGAGTTCTTCTTGGTAGAGTAAAAGCCTCGAAAAAAACTACGTTTACATTTTTTAGAAACGAAGGCGGTGGAAAAGAGTGGGGGCGAAGTGAGAAGGGCGGGGGGGGGGAGGAGGGAGTAACAGATGTTTTTGGAACAAGTAGTGATTCATTGAAATAATGAAGACAACTTGACTGTCGGTATTAAAAAAATACGAAAAAGATATGACTTAGTCATCACTACACACAAACCCTACTCCAATATTAACCTGCTGATTCATTAGCCAAGTTTGGTGTCCAATTCGATCCATCACCGAATAGTCCATGTTGAAGAAAGATTACCGGTTTGTCTCCATTTTTAGCTGAATGAGTGTTTTTTTCCAAAAAAATAGGTCAAATGAGCTTACAATGCCCACCACTCTTTATCCGATGTAGTTCAAGGATGTAGTCGTCCTTGGTTCGTACTAGGTGCACCTCTGATTTGTAACCGTAATATCTGGCAATCTCTGGCTGAAAATTTGATTTTAGAGATAAAAAACTCAACAATTATTCGGATAACAAAACATACCACTGTCATGTAACATTCTGGATCGATCGCTATTGTACAGCTGATCAGCAACAGAATCCAGATGGACAAAGACATCTGAAACATCACACATGGTGTTTTGTCTCGACTTTGTGAAGTAGTGAAGGAGAAATAATAGGCACGGGTTTTCAATAAATTGCGTCGAATAATCAAACGTTTGACTCACTTTATTTTCAAAATCGCTTGAATGAACAGCATTTGCTGATAGGTAGCATGTAGGTCTGGCTTTAACTCAGTCTTGAAGAATGAAGTCAGTTTTTTTCCCTTCAGTTACCGTAGAATTAAGAAACGAACTTCCAAAACAATGTTTTCACAGTGTTTCTAGCAAATAACTTTTTACATAATCATAGAGCAGTTTTAGATGGTATAATCAGAGTTTCAATAATGTAGTGGGAACACCGCCCGATATTAGGTTAGAACATAAGCTTTGCATCGAATTTTTTTCAAATCTTCTCCAAGTTCACCGATTCTTTTTGAAATGACATAAAAAAAAAGAAAACTTTACTTTTTTCAAGTATTCTCAAAGTAAAATTCATCGCTTTCTTATCACGGCAACGGAACTCGAAAGCAAACTGTCAGATTGCGTTTTCCCAACTTCAAATCCTCAAAGCTGAGAACAGTCCAGAAACTTTTGATTTTACTTGATATTTGGCTTTACAGTTCACGCTTCTTAAGAATCTAAAATCTGTTTCGAATTCTGTATTGGTTGAAATAAAATCTCTTATTTATACTATGAAGTAGTGCATAAATTTCTCCAATGAAAAAATACTATACAGAATGAAACGCTGCTCTCAGCAATTTTGAACGAACTTTGGAAAGTTTGGTGCAAGACTCAAGTTTCAACCTATTACACATCTAGGGGGTAGCTTTTGAACTAATGATTAGCTTGAAGCGAAAAGGTCACATATTTATGATAATCAGCAACGCTAATCAACCCGGTAACAGATTTCCAGCTCTTTGGGACAATTTCTTGGAGCAATATACGCTCACGCTTTTGCAAAGTTCATAAAAAGCTCTTACCGTAATCAAACAATGGGGTGATTAAGAAATTGAATTGGTGAGCAGTTTTCTACTGCCAATCTAGCTTGTAGGCAGCCTATGGGTAGAAAAAGATTCGGGAAAGCTGTTTAGGCAAGAGTATTGACGATCAAACGTCTGATACGTTTCTTGAAACACCTTTTCTAAAAATATATGCAAAATTTATCAAATATCAAAACATAGTGAGCAGCCGTTGAGAAAGCAACATACCCTCGATATCATCCCATATGTCTTCCCTCAACATGACGTGGATTATGTGGCTTGAGTCGCCTCGGGCTCGAGCCACGTTGCGAGCGCATCATTTGGCGCGACGTGGAGCTCAACACAACGTGGCGCTGGCTTTTCCACGTTCTTCTTGTTGCCACATCATGCCGAAAATGCGCACGCAATGTGGCGCAGGCCCGAGGCGAGGCGGCGCCTCATCAAGCCACGTAATCCACGTCATGTTGAGGGAAGACATATGGGATGATATCGAGGGTACATCCTGGCATTTCAAGTGACAATTTAAGATGTACTGTAATTGGAGACAGTAGAGAAAAAACAACAAAATGTTTTTTACATAAAGCTTCAAAGAAAAATAGCTATCATTAAATTGCCAAAACATACTAGTCGTCATGCTAAAGCCCTTGAAGCTCCTACTTTCTAGTGCTTCAAAGATGTCGAAAAAAAATTCATGTTGTAACTCTAATTACAATATGAACAAAATCAAGCTCTCAATTATTACCCTATCCCATTTTCCAGACTGATATACAGTCCAGTAGATTTTCCGCATGATACAGTGTACTTGCGGTGCCGAGACTTTGTGATGAAATTTGCGCGTGAGCATTAGCTACTCCTGACATGCAGACAATTTGCGCGCGCAAGTAGCCTGTATTACAGGCGTAACTATTTGTTAACGCCCACACTTTACCTCAAACTTTTGGCACGGCAAGCGCACTATAGGTTGTCCCAAAAGTAGGTATACACTTAATCGTCAATATTTCTCTTCCCACAAAATTTTTTACAGTTTCAGGCATCAATATGTAGATCTGGCTTCAGCTTAGATTAGCAGTTCAAAGGGCCGGGCATACTTCACGCGATTACATCGCGACGCGATTTGGCAATATTCCAACTGTCCATAACTCACTCTAAGCACGTTTTAAATGTACAGAAGAAGGACATTTCATCAATCCACGTATGTTATACACACTATTCATGTGCAGTTTGTTAGTGTTGTATCTGAAGACTTTTGGCGAATTGCCAAATCGCGTCGCGCCTGAATTCGCGTGAAGTATGCCCGGCCCTTAATGCAACCCATCGATCGCTTTTGGTTAGTGTAGAATTACGACAGGAACTTCAGCATATAGCGCCACTGTAAGATAAGCCGTCTGAAATAGTTCCACAAAAATTTGATAAGTTGCGTACCAGTCAAACATGTTAATTTCGCACAACGTTCTACTATTAGGTTGTCCCATGAGTCTTCTCATATCTGACTTTTTAAAAGCTTGAGTCTGCTGTTCTTAGATTTCTGATGGGATGTTGGTACCAGGCTTGATTCGCATCGAATTTTAAGACAAATGGAAATAAATCCAAAATCCCGAAAAAACAAAAATGATTGTATCTAACTTCAAAAACATTCTGCAACGTTCTCGCTTGCTCGCCATATAATTTCTCCCATCAGATATTTATATATACACTTCTGCATTTTTCTGATGGCTAAAAATTGAGCGAAAATAATGTGCTCAATTTTCAAACTTTGTCTGTAGTGGGTCTATGCTTTCCGCATTATATAGCTTATTCAATCAAGAATACTCCCGCAAATTTGCACCCTTGTAGATGCCCTAGTTTTTGAGAAATATCACTTTGAAGGTACGAATATGAAAATACTTATGGGCCAACCTAATATTTTCAAGGCATTGAAAATGGTTTCACCACATCACGGCGGTTTACCTAGTGTACCTTATCAAAAAGGCCTAACGGTAAAGTAAATTTTTATTGACGTCGCGACTTTGTTCAGAATGACAATTTCAGCTTCTTAAGTATATTCTGGAACACTATATAGACAAGAATGACGGAAGCCATCTTCAACTCCTACCGCAATTCTACGGTAATGGAAGGCATTAGTTGATTTGTTCCATACTGTGAATTAGGGTGAAGCCAACTTTTATACCTGAAGCTCCAAAAGCTCCAAATGACTTTTTGGGATGAAAGCTATTGACGTTCAAAAAGTGCGTACTTTTGGGAAATCCTGTAGATCAGGCGAATCTACACTGTAAGGCCATTCGCTTTCGAATTTATGTTCACTATACATGAAGAATTTTCGTAGAGTTTTGTAAGAGCAAAAAAACAGACAAGCAATCACGAAGAGTTCATCTTCTGCAAACACATGCTAACAAGACGAAAATGTTTGAGAAGTTATGTTTGTGGCAAGACCTTTTCAACATTTTTAAACCTCGAGCAGCAGTACATATTGTATTATATACTTCCAAACCTGAATACGAAGGAACTGTAATGTAATGGATTTTCTAATAAATAATTCCGATCGCTTGCGCCTTCTATTGGGTTGTCCCGAAAGTTCTGTCGCTTCATTTTTAAAAATTCGCAACTTTGCGCTATCTCGACGGATCTGCATCCTTGTAATTACATTTGAAAAGTAAGTCTTTCGCTTTCGATCGCTTTCCTTTCTCGCTTTTAATACACACTGACTGCAGAGATAATGGAAAAAGAGGACCATATAAACCTTGGTCATTTTGAGTTAGGTCGCCAAAAACCTGTATCGCTGCCGAAAATTCTGAAAGCGTAAGTACCTAGGTTTCTTGACCTACTCTTTACAACTGTGAAGAGTTTGTGCTGTTTGGATGTGTCTGTAAAAGATTATGGTTTTCGATAAAAGTGACATTAATTAATTTTGGCATTTTCTATAGTAAAGTCGAAATTCGTAAATTTTCACAGAGACCTCCAAACAGCACAAACTTTTCATTGTTGCAAAGAGTAGGTCAAAAAACCTATGTACTTACGTTTTCAGAATTTTCCGCAGCGATACAGGTTTTTGGCGACCTAACTTAAAATGGCCAAAGTTTATATGGTCTTCTTTTTCCATTTTTATCTCTGTAGTTAGTGTGTATTATAAGCTAGGAAGGAACGTATTCAAAAGCGAAGAGTTGTGCTTTCAAATAAGATTGAAAGGCTGCAAGTCCGTTGAGAAAGCGCAAAATTACAGATAGTGAAGTAGAAGTTTGCGCAGATGAGCCCTATTCAACTCCCCAAATGAGATATAGGTTTGAAGCAAACATAGCTCGACCAAGCTTGTTTTAAAGAGTAGTTTTTGATGGTAACTATCATTTTGCATATTTTGCTACTGACTAAATGAGGAAATCAAAAGCTTTGCCGAGATAGAACCAGTGGTGTTGACGCCTAATGATATAATGAAAAACGTAATTGCCTCTTCTCGGTTTCGAGGCTTATTATCTTCTTATACCAGTTAGCAATTCTTCCATTCGAACTAATTATCGTCAGCGAGATGTAAAGAACAAAGAAAGACCTAGCGAATGCATCTCCCTGCAATGTATGCGATTTCATTATACGAGCTGCACTTTTTACTGCAAACAATTTGCTTTCCATTTGTAGATTAAGGCTAGAGACTAGACGTCTAAGGGAACAAACGAATGGCTGACTAAAGAATTCTGATTACCATGTTACAGCTAAAAGAAGTGTTTACAAGGAGATAAAAAGTGCAAATAGAGTTTCGCAGATTAGAGACCTTTCAAAATTCTCGCTAAAGTAAGTGCAAAACTGAATCAAAAAAGCCATGTCGGACAATGCATACATACGAGCTTAAAAATCTCATTATAATTTTCCCAAAAGTATATTTTTTCCCATCCATTCAAAAGATATAAATAAGGCAAAAAGTACAAAATATTAGATGGGTAAGTTTGTGCGTTTTCTAGACCTATTCTGAAATCGTTCAGAATGACGATAGAAAAATAGTGCAAGCATCTACCGATGCAGAATCCCCTTTCAAGTAGCTATGTTCCCTTTGT